CAAGCAGTGTGAACGCAAGCAGGACGAGGTACTGAACATACAGCGTTGCGTTCACACTAGAATTGCAGGACTAGGTACTGAACATACATAAGTGTGAGTGAATTGCAGGACGAGGTACTGAACATACATAAGTGTGAACGCAACGCTGTATGTTCAGTACCTCGTCCTGCAATTCACTTAATTACGGTACCGTCCCTAGTGTGAACGCAACGCTGTATGTTCAGTACCTCGTCTAATTACGGTACCGTCCCTAGTGTGTAAGCGTTGCGTTCACACAGGACGAGGTACTGAACATACAGCGTTGCGTTCACACTTGAATTTCGAGGTACTGAACATACAGCGTTGCGTTCACACTTGAATTGATTTCAAGCGTTACGAGGTACTGAACATACAGCGTTGCGTTCACACTTGAATTGATTTCAAGCGTTACGAGGTACTGAACATACAGCGTTGCGTTCACACTTGAATTTCGAGGTACTGAACATACAGCGTTGCGTTCACACTTGAATTGATTTCAAGCGTTGCGTTCACACTTGAATTGGTTAATTACGGTACCGTCCCTAGTGTGAACGCAATGCTGTATGTTCAGTACCTCGTCAAATTAATTCACCTCGTCGTGCTTGAATTGGTTAGACGAGGTTAGAACATACAGCGTTGCGTTCACAATAGGGACGGTACCGTAATAGTGTGAACGCAACGCTGTATGTTCAGTACCTCGTCTTGCTTGAATTGGGTTAGAACGTTGTTTCACACTAGGGATGGTACCGTAATTAATTGAATTCAAGTGTGAACGCAACATTCAAGTAATTACGGTACCGTCCCAAGTGTGAACGCAACACTTGAATCGATTAATTACGGTACCGTCCCAAGTGTGAACGCAGCACTGTATGTTCAGTACTTCGTCCTGCTTGAAATGGTAATACCCTAGCGTTCAATTCAAGTGTGAACGCGACGCTGTATGTTCTAACCTCGTCCTGCTTGAATTGGGAGGTTAGAACATATAGCGTTGCGTTCACACCGTTCACGCTATATGTTCTAACCTCGTCAGCGTTCACACTAGGGACGGTACCGTTTCACACTAGGGACCGTCCCTAGTGTGAACACAACGCTGTATGTTCGGTACCGTCCCTAGTGTGAACACAACGCTGTATGTTCAGTACTTCGTCCTGCTTGAATTGGTGTTACCATTTCAGGACGAGGTACTGAACATACAGCGTTGCGTCAAGCAGGCAGGACGAGGTACTGAAAATAAAGCGTTGCGTTCACACTTGAATTAATTAATCAATTCAAGTAGGACGAGGTACTGAACATAAAGCGTTGCGTTCACACTAAGGACGGTATTGTAATTACTTCGTCCTGCTTTAATTAATCTGAACATACAGCGGTTGCGTTCACACTTGAATTGATTAATTACGGTACGTCTCTAGTGTGAACGCAACGCTGTATGTTCAGTACTTCGTCCTGCTTGAATTGATTAATTAATTCAAGTGTGAGGTACTAAACATACAGTGATGCGTTCACACTAGGGACGGTACCGTAATTAACCAATTCAAGTGTGAACGCAACGCTGTATGTTCTAACCTCGTCCTGCTTGCGTTGCGTTCACACTAGGGACGGTACCGTAATTAATCAATTCAAGTGTGAACGCAACGCTGTATGTTCAGTACCTCGTCCTGCTTGAACGCTCGATTAGAGGGAAGACACTTGGTATTAGCATCTCCTTCTTTGAGCCATCTCAATCTGGACTTTTGTTGCCAAAAGAGTTCTTCCTGTAAATGGGTCTTGTTTCCTTTTTGTTTACGACTTTATTCCCAGGTATCCCAACTGTCACCAGATTTATCCCTGTTCAGAATTTCCATCTTGAAATAAGGTGATATTTAATTATGGTTATAGTTTTGACAATAAAGTATACAATATATAACAACTTCTGAATCGGTGCAATTTTTATGAAATATATTGCATTATATAAAAATAAAATTGTGGATGGATGTATATTGAATTCATTGATGATTGATATTATATATGGGTTCATAAATATACCAAGGGTGGAAAAAATATAAACAAATAAATAAATAGTTCATACAAATATTTTTAATCTAAGCAAAACTAATTAGGAGTAAAATGGAAACTTATCACAAAGAACTCTGTAAGCTAAAAGAGGCATACAATGAAAGTCTTCAAATGAATCGCCACTTGAGATTAACAAAAGAACAAGCACTGGAGGCGGGCTTGGCCCTCATAAAGCGCTTGTTACGACCATCCGGAGGCTGATCCAAAGAGACTGGAATGTTAAGATCCAACACGTTCATAGGGAAGCGAACTTTGCGGCTGATCATATGGAGTGCCTGGCCAAGTCCAACCCTTTGGGCTTACATCGCGATCATTTCAACAAATCCATTTAAGGATTGTGCAAGTAAAATAATTATATTTCAAAAATTTTGAAATCAAAGGATTTCAAATCACTCAAAACAAACGTAGGCTAAGAGTTCTTGAAGATAAAACAAAATTCAAATAACAATTTAAAATCTTAAAAATCTAGCACAGGTTGAGATATGATCCAGCACAACTAAATATTAGCAAATAGCATCATAAATTACGAACAGGAGGAAACCATCAACACATTCGCATGACAAAATACGCTCATTGTCAAATAGCAAACAAAAACAGCAGTTGCACACGTTTTTGTTTTGTGAAACCAAAGCCACAACGAAATTCTTACACAATAACAAAGAGGCTCATACTTCATTTACATATTTAATTGGTGGGAGAGTTATCACATATTTAATTTGTCAAAAGGTGTTTGTTTGGAGTAATGCGCTATTTTCTTGGAAGAAGATTTTCTTTCTAATAAGAATGGCGAGATTGTAGAACTTAATGAAGAACCACAAATTATTCCACAAGTTGTCACAGATAACACACCAGTTGAGACTGGACTTTCTAAAACACAACCTCTTCAGAAATCTGTAAGGGTTTCTAGGGCTTCTGAGAGGCTAAACCTATTGTTAGAGAACAATGAAGAGGGACTCCTTTTGGATAATGATCCAAAAGACAATGTTGGACATTGACTCGATTAAATAGCAAGAAGCTATGCAATCCGAAATGGATTCCATATACTCAAACAAGGTATGAACCTTGTTAGACCAACCATAGGGTATTGTACCCATTAGATGTAGACAATTCCTCTTCCAATGGCTTAATTTGTCACAATGGAAACACTCGTGGTCAGTCATTTTGTTTTGATCATGAATACATGTAATTGGATTTTTAGTCATTTTAGTATAATGTTCTACTAAAATAAACGAAGCAGAAAATGAATAGACTATGAAAAATATATTCATTTAATATAAGGTCTTTGATATTAAATGTCTCCCACTATTTTAATTAAACCCCATAAAATTTTGAAAATCAAATTTTCATAGTGGGCTTGAAGCCCAATAAAAATATTTCATATCCCAATTTTATGAGTACGCATGAAATATTTATATTGGTAGTCAACATTTTTTACAATTGTATCACTATACAACCTTCAAATTTATTTTGCTTCACTTTTCTTATATACCCCAATTTTATGACCGTATATAGTACTAAGTGTCAAATTAAACCCATCAAATATTCGTGATAATGGTTCATCAGGGTGTCCCACGACTCGTGGCCAACACAAAGACGAATCCATCTCACGAGCATCACAATGCTTAGTAGAGATCACAGCTTTCAGCACAAAGCCACCCCACGGCTCATGGTCAGTGACTAAGCACCGTAGCATCGTCATGTCATCTAATTTTGATGGAAGGCATGGATTAATAGGTCCAACCCATTTTTATCCATTATAATTTGATATGGAATTAATTGAATTAAATTCTTTAATAGTTTCAAAAACTTAGGGTTTATTTTAAGACCTCATCAACTTAAATTACTAAGCGGGTTTATTTAATGCAACATTCATCATATGAAATGCAAGCAACAAGCATTAAACAAATCTAACATGCATCTAATGCGATGGGATGATCACGATCATGCCTATACGACTCATTCGAGCCAAAATGGGTCTATTTCTATATACGGGATAAAATAAATAGAACTACTTCTATTACATTTTATTTTATCAACCCGTACAAGCACAGGCCTTCAAAATTTACAACTTGTAAAATTACCCATACAAGTGTGGGCCTTTTGCATTGAACGGCCTTCAACATTATCTAATCTACTCTCGATGCAATAATTTAAAATTATACAAATTATTGAATAAGAGATTCACAGGTCTCGATAAATTACAAACATTCAATCATATTGAATAAAAGGCTTATGATCATCCCTAAATAAATATGCTAAAAACATTCATCACATGAATTAAAAGCATATAAATTTACTAAATTGTGTGTTGATTTAATTTTGGGATTAATAAATATTAACTATCATAATAGTTAATCTAATTAATTTAGATTTAACTTTTAAATCTAAACTTAAATAAAACAAATAAATACACATTTATATTTATCACTAGAGAACCATTCTCTTTATCACATACAAAATGATTTGCATTTTTTTATTTCGGACATCACATGTCCCAAGAGAATCAAATTCTCAATTTGCTTTCTCCTGTGCGCAACTCTTGCGTGAGGAATCAATCAGGTGGTGTTGATTTTCTTATCCCATGTACATATCATATATATAAATATAAACATTTTTTTTTTAATATTATGTAGGGCACAATGAATTTGCCCCACAAACATTTTACTAACATCACGGTTATAGCTGTCAAAACGGGCCGGCGGGGCGGGCCGGCCCGTAGCCCGCCGAAGCCCGCCTTTTGACGGGGCAGGGCGGGCCTATGAACTGCCGGCCCAACCCGCCCCCCCACTGGTCGCGGGCTTTGGCGGGCCAGCTCGCTATTTTATTTTATTTTATTTTTTAATAAAAAAAAACTGAAAATGGCCCAATTCTCTCTCTCTCTATATATATATAAAACATGCTATCAAGAATTGTAAGGAAGCAAGGCATTATACANCGCCCCGCCCTAGCCCGCGGCCCGCACGGGCTGGCCCGTTAAATCCCGGCCCAAACCACCCCTTTCGCGGGGCGGGGTGGACCGGCCCGCGGGCCAAATTGACAGCTCTAATCACGGTGGGTGGAGAACATGTCAACCATATGAAAACACAACACCCCTCTCATTATTTTATTAAGAAGATGCAGAGATTATAAATCTCTGATTTTTATTTTTTTCTATTTAATTTGCAAATCAAATTTGCAACCCCACCTATTAAATATGTGATAACTCTCCCAGGAACATTCAGACCACCCGCATTGGGAGCATTTGGTGGTGGTGGTGGACGAACTAACTGTTCTGTGGGCCTCCGCTGTTTCGATTGTCCATGCTCTCTCTCCATGTTCCGTGTCTTGACAATGTCGATGGTCCTGGTCGCGCGAGCCATGTTTCTGTGATACATCTCGTGGTATTTGGGGTCATATGGCACAGCCTGGCCGTTGATGAATGGCTCACCTCCATAAACTTTATTCTTCACATCCAAGTATGAGTCCGGACACAAATAAATAACATTATTAAGCGCTGCACCACAAGTTTTTAATCAATTTAAAGAAACAACAAAAGGTTTAAATTAGAATCAGAAAGCAATGTGGTAAATAACTCAGGGGTCCAGTACCTCTTATCCTGTACGCCGTCTCTTCCGACACAAGAGCTCCGAAGGCAGCGTAATACTTAGTAGAGACTGAATAAATCTTCATCCTAGCTTCTTCTTCACTGCATATACAAAAAATTTGCTAACTAGTTTGAAACTCAACAAGGCAGCAATGCAATCATGATATTACCACTAAAAAACACAACTACAAAATAAGAAAAATATTGTTAATCGATCTGTATACAAAAAATACATTTTTTTTAAGCATTTTGAAACCTGACCGATCACTGCCAAACAAAGGATGTGCTTCACACTAAATATCCTAAAGGGGGCAATTCAAAATTACAGTAATCAAGGACTCATAGCGATATGCACAGTATCATAAACAACATTTGTTTTATCATTTCCATCATACAACCCGACTTAACGTCAAAATTTCAAAAAGGTTAACAATTTCCAGAAGATAGATCTCAAATTTCAAAAAGGTTAACAATTTCCAAAAGATAGATCTCATCTGAAAACTAGAAAACATAAAACCCACTGAATCTACATAAGAATCTCTTATCAGATGCTATCTCAGAAACTGTAACCCTAAACTTCATTTCCAGAATTTTTACCATCTACCTACGCGCAAACAGAAAGAAGACAATGAAATGAGGAAACATCCAGGTGATATCTTGGTTCAACTTACACAATACAAAACCAAAAGAGACTAAAAAAACGAGTCTTTAAAGTTTTACCACCAGAAAAGTGCCAAACCTGCCAACAATCACAGCAAGAGTCTTGATGTAATAATCAATCAATTGGTCCCGCGTCACGATCTCCGGCGGCATATTCATGAAAACAAGCCAGTGCTCGAAATCGCGACCGTCGAACGGTTCCGATTTCGGGTCCTGATCATTCGTAGACGACGCTGTCTGCAGAGTCGCGAACCCCCTGGTAGATATAGCCGGAGAAAGAAGGCGAGGATAGAAGGCGCAAGCGGCGGCGGCGAGAGGACGGAGGCGCAGGACGAAAGAGGGCCTGCTGAGGACGCCAGAGGACGAGGCGGCTGTGCTGTAGGATTGCGCGAAGATGGCGGCCAGGGATTTGGTAGTGGGAAGGACGGCGCGCGTGAGACATCGAATCGCCATATTCAGAGAAAAAATGATAAAACCCTAGCGACTGCGCAGACGAGAACTGTAGTGGTTTTTGATAGGGGTGACAATTTTTAACCGAAAACCGAAAACCGAACCGAACCAAACCGAACTGATGAGAAAATAAACCAAACCGTATCGAATCGCTTTTAACGGTAACCAATCACGGGTATCGGTTTTGAACTGATAGAGTTCGGTAAAACCAATACCGAACCGATAAGGGTAAAAAAAATTAAAACAAGGATTTTTTTTGTAAATATTAAAACAAGGATTATTTGTTTAGTGTTTAGTGTTTAAAAATTAAAATATAGACTCAACTCTACCTGGACCTCAAACTGACGAAAAAAAAAATACCACTACCCATCTCTTCATTCACCTTCTCACCAGAACAAATGTCGGTTTACCAATCACACTCCTTCTATGGAAGATGGTACTGTAGTTTATTCTCGTACCACCGTTACTAGATAAGTTAGTTGAAATTATATCACAAATTTTATTTTTTGGATGTTCAACAATAGATTGTTTTATTAGTTGCGTTGAATACAAAAACCAGAATCTAACTATATTTAAATTAACTTCTATATATTAAATTTAACTCTTTAATCCTTCAATGAATCTATGAGTCTTTTGTGTGTATTTAATTGGTAAGAGGTGAGAAAATTACCAAAATGACGAGAAAAGCAAACACTAGCAGTTTTTTTTTTTTTTTTTTTGGTGCTCAAAATTTTTGTGTGCTCAAAATCGGTTCGGTTTTTTCGGTATAAAATCGAAACCGAACCGAGTTTTCGGTTACCGAAAATTCGGTAACTGACTTTAATCGGTTAGGCACCGGTTTTGAATTTTGAGGTTACCGACATTATCGATTCGATATAGGTATATGCTTATCGGTTCGGTAACCGAACCGATACCACCCCTAGTTTTGAGGGGGAGGAAGCACTGTTATATATCCACGTCATCTGTTAAGTAATGTGAAATTTACAGAAATGCTCCTGGCCCCCCTTTTTTTTACAATAATTCTACTTGTACTATCTAGTTTACCATTTGACTTACCACACAAGGTAGTATACAATTTTACCTTCCATTGAATTATGCTTAACCATATAATTAGCTTTCATGAAGAATTATATATAATAATAATAATAATAATAATAATCTATCTATACTTATATAAAAGGAGATCTTATTTACTACATTTAGTATCCAGAAAAGTCAACTGCATTAAATGTCATTACTATTTTGGTATTAATATTTTATTTAACTGATTTATTTATCTATATATATAATAAGAATTACCATTTTTAAAAAATGGCAGGTCAACTATATAGTTAAATTCTCTCATCATTAATTACTTTCCATTAATTATAATTTATTTATTTATTATTTTCTTAGCAAAAACGGACCAACATTAATTGATTTTCTTAACATGTGGAAGTTGTTGCTTTATTTTTTAACAGAAAATCGGGTTTCATTATAGAAATTTGTTCAATTACACAATGAATTTGCTATGATATAATTATTTTTTATGGGAATTATTTTTTTAACATAAAAATATGGCATTTCAATAAGATTTTCGATTTTTTAAGACTGATTGTTATCATGCTATGAAATTGAACATTCTAATATACCTTACAAAATATACACGTGTTGTATACATCAGTTAATAGAAATATAGAATCCTCATAATGTAATTTTTCTATTACTAAATTTAATTGATAGTTGTTGTGTTATGAGTTTTTCATAATTGTTACTTGGTTGTTGTGATATTTAGTTTGGTTGCTGTCGCAAAAATTCTAATCTATATATATAATAAGAATAATCATTACAATGCAAATTAGAAAAATATTGATATTAGAAGAGATTGAGTCCATGGCTTTTCTTAAATCAAAGTTGTTTAATTAGTACTAGTGTGTGGCCTGTGCGATGCACGAGAAAATAATATTACAATTGTATTATAAATGAAAAATATAAATAACATTAATCATGATTTATCCATTGTTTTTAAATTAAACCGAGTTGGACACAGTCCGACTGGATGGATCGAGAATCGGTTTATAATCAGTCTAGTTCACTTGAATAAAATATTTGATCTCGAATCCGTCAACAACAGTAGGTTGGACTGGTAGGATCGATATTTGTTATATTTAAAATTATTTTAAATAAAATTACATATTTAAATAAAATAGAGATTTATAAATTATTTATCAGTTAGTTTAAACATTTGAATTAATAAATTATTTAGATATCTAAGTAACATATTTTATTTAAATTTATTACAAAAAGTACTATATATATATATATTAAAATATTTATAAATTAAAATCTGAACAAACCACAAATGAGTTAATAAAATAGCTTGATCGTTTCGATGATGGTCCAGTTCTGAACACCTTATAATTATTGTACATTAATAAATATTGTAATAAAATATTATATAATTCACATTAATATTAATAAAATGATATATAAATATTCATAAATCATTAAAGATGTTGTCATAAAAGTATTGTTAATACGATTATTTTAAGTTTGGACTACGTCACATTCACGTAATAAAATATTTTCAATATAAAATTTATATTTAGGTTCAATAATCAATTTGGTGTGGTCGAAAATATATTTAATTTTATGAAATTAAAATATATTTAGTTTGGACTACGCCACATTCTCCTGGAACCAACCAAGTTGTGTCAAAATTTTTGACTATTTTAAATATCACCTAAAAGTAATTCAATCAACCTGGGCAGTACCCTAATTCAGTCACCCGATTGATCCGAAGAAATTTTCTTATTTTATTTAAATATATTTAATTTTATGAAATAAAAATATTTTATGATTCATATAATAAATGTCTACACCAAATGATAGTACATTAAGATATAAATTATATATCTATAGATGAATTAATTATTTTTACTTTATGCATATTAATAAAAAAATAAACACAGTAATTTTCAAAAAATTAGGAGTAATTGATTGATTATGCAATTAAAGAATATTTTTTGCGATCAATATTTTTGTAAAGTCACAAATATAAAGACCGAGATTCTAAAACTTTTGTTATATTTTGAATTGAGATTTTACAAATATAGAGACCGAGATTTTAATATTGTTCGTTGTTTCTAAGAATAAATAAAAAAATAAAAACATACACACTTAATAAATTTTAGCCAGATTTTTTAAATAATAAAATAAATTAAAGCCCAAAATTTAATGTAGCATTTAATGATGTATGATTTTTAAAGAAAAAAATTATAAAATAATAAAACTTACTATTTATAGGCTGCATTAAATTCTGACCTATTATTTTGCTACTATTTTTGGTAAATGGTAATTCTTATTATATATATATAGTTACAAAATTAAATTCTAAAAAAATATATGTGTATATTTTGTACATTATTTATACACTATTTAATTTTAAATTTATTTACATATTTTAAATTGATTGTTTATATAAATAATACCAACGTGCACTAAATATATTTCATTACATAAAATAAAAAGAACAAGAAGACGTGCAACTTCTATAACTTTATAAATAATAATGACATTATATGGCAACAGAGTTTATAGTAAAATAATAATTAACTATTATATAGTGAACAATGTTGATAAACGGATTTAATCAACGTAATTAGATTTGAAATTACAGTAAAGATTGCAGAAAATGAGATTTTTATTGAAATATTGAAGTCGGTTACAGAATTGAGAAGTCGGTTTTTCAAATGTTCACCAAGTCGGTAAGCAAAGAAAACTGAGATAAATATGTGTGTTTTTATAACTTTTTGCCGAATCCTCATATTGTCTTCAATGTTGCTATTTATAGTTATGATCGGCACGCATCTCAAGACAAATCAGCTTCATTTTAATGAAGATTTGACAGTTTAGGGGCGGCCATGATGTAGGCAAACTTTTTAGGTAATGATGAGCATGGGCGCTCCTCTATCTGTGTGATAAGCGTCACTTCTGTCGGATTGAAGTCGGCATTACTTCGCGACGTCGGTGTTTCGGTATAATTTCAACCTTCTACGACTTCCTGGTTAGCCGCTCTATAACCGAGGTGGTCATCCCAAAGTTCTAACGTTTCATTCTGATGGCTTTCAGGATCTGCTGTCTTTCTCAGCACGTCGTATGAAGACCGAGGTGATATTTCCGAGGTTCCAGATATTTTGCTTTATGTCGTCAAAGACCCGATTCGTGATTTAGACTTTATAAAATCTTTAATCCATCCTTTATCTCAAGAAATTCTATCTTGATATCAACATAGAGGCCCCTGGCATTAAGAAGTACGCGAATATGCGTATTTTTTAATGACATCTTTCATCCAATCATCTTTTACTTCCGAGTTTACGTATGGATTTTTCCACAAGCGAAACCGAGGTACTTTCCTTAGACAGGAGTTACATCTTTTCACTTCTTCACCAGGGCTATTTAAGACCAGAAGAAAATTATAGAGCGGTTTTCTGGAGGTTACGAACGTGTCTTCTCCACTACTCTTCCCAAAGGGCACGTACCATAAATTTCGGATACTAATTTTAATGTTTTCGGGACACGCGTACGTACGAGATTATACCTGAAACTTCAGGCCATAATTAAAAGAAGTCCCTTCAAAGTTCAAACAACGCGTCGGCTTCTCACGCGCCTCTCCATCTTCAACGGTTATAAAATACAGTATATATATACAGATAGGTTCATAGTCCCTCTTCACTAAATCTTCATTCAAGCAACTTTTTCATCTTTTCGATTATCCTATTGTTTCTCTCCTCTTTCCTTTTGTCCTTTCTTCATATATCGACAAATCCAGAATTCCTTAAGAGTTTGCTTCAATTTTCGGTAAGCCCCAATTTCCTCTTTCCATTTCTTAATTCCTTTGTGTTATTTTTCCTGGTCGTGATTATGTCGGTAATTGAAGAGCACGTTGAGCCAAACAGCAGCAGTCGAACTGTGTCGGATATGAGGTTGGATGAGGAGTTGATGGAGTTGATGGGGGATTATTACCGGTGGGACCCTGTTTTGTGGAACGTCTAGACATTCGAAAGAATAGTGTTGAAGGAGATGCTGAGGTGGAACGAGATATTCCCGTGAGGTCGGGTTATTGGAA